AGGTGTGCAGGTGGGGTGGGGCCAGCTCCAGAGCCGGGAACATAACAAAGACAGGGTAAAAGAGCATCTACAGTGAAAAAATGGGAAGCCTTCACATCCCAGACAGCTGCTTGGAATTTGCTTCTGACTTTGCCACCATCAAGTGCACAAAAGTCTGGAGGTATGTCAGTGGGTTGAAAAATCATCTCGCCCTGTCCAGCGCTTTTAGAAAAAGCATGTGAATGACTCAAGATAAGACTTGTGACCTGCTTTCAGGGTGTCAAATACTGACATTTTGATGGTGTTGTTTTGTAGAGAAAAAAAAGGTGACCGTTTGCACTGTTGCCTGGTGCACCATCCACAGGAGCACTGGACGGTTGCAACAAGGTCAACAAACATCATCCCTCAATTTACATTTGGCTGGAGATCTGGACCACAGCTATTTTCCAACATCTGAGATTTTGTGCACTCTGTTTGTGGTTTCTTTTCTCTTTAACCCAACATGTTGGGTTAAGAACAGTGGGACAAACCCCATTTCCCAAATGGTGTGTCATCTTTAGAAAGTACCCAACAAAAATAGGGAGTCCACAGTGTCGCCTGACAAGGATATGTGTTGGATAATTAGATAATTCATTCATTTTTATATTTTCATTATTCTGTCCCTGTATGCTGTTTCACTATGTTTATCCAGACCAATTTAAAAAAAAAACAATACCTCTGCTAAATGCCCAACCTTCTCAATTAATCTGTGACTCCAGGGGTCCTAAAATAGACTGTGAGATTAGGCTGAAAATTAGCATCCGCTCGTCTGATCTTATTTTCTGAGTTTTCTTAAAATGTGGTAAAACTTTGAGAGAGTATTAATGTTGGATTTCAGCAAGGATGGGGGTGACATGAATCTGAAAGTACATAAACCATTTGTATTTCATGCGGCTCATGCCTGCCGGTGTTTCGGCCACAGTCTGTTATCTTAGTGAGTATGGTTTTTGTAACCAAACCCATTTAAAGCCTTTCTGTTTCATTTACACCTTACCTTTTGCATAGAGATGATTGAAGTTTTAAAAAAACGTTGCCCCTAAATGCATCTTTGCTCCTTTTGCTTTGAAGCTTGCTTCAAAGACTGCCTGATTATTTGCTTACATGGTGTACTTTTAAAATTTCTCTGCTGCCAGCAACAGCTCCACAAACCATACACTTTCAGTTATTCTTACAACACAGTGTGGGTAGGAATGGGCTTCTGTGTATATAATGGTTGTGTGGCACTGATGAATATTCAGCTTGTAAGCAATAGTCAATAGTGTCGCCCTCTGGATATTTTTCTCCCTTGAGCCACCGTGGTTTCCTCTCTCAAACTCAAACTGGAGCAGCCGGTTATATTCTCCATTCCTAGGTAACATCCACAATAATTTGATTTGCAGATGTTTTCAGTAATTAATTTTCTGGATGGTAAATCAGCTCCATCAACACATCCTCCCAGAGGCCCCTTCTTCGGTCTCATCCCTCCATCATTCCTATCTGTCAGTCCTGGCTCTCAGGCTAAATAGTCAGACTTTAGGAGTGTTCACAAAGCAGAAAACTGAAGCAGATTTTAATCTCATGATGATCTGTTTTTTAGTCACTTTTTTTTTTAGATGTCTGGGGTTCATTCAGAGCCACCCGCCCAAGGTAGAAGGAAGGAACACCTTTTTAATTAGTTTATCACAGCCTGAGAGTAAAGCTTATTTTTCTAATAACAGTTCCAAAATTGTCTTTTGGGAACAGTTGTTGAAGCTTATGTTTATTTAATTTCAGACTTGTTTATTTGCTCTCAGGAAAAGTAACTAGGCAAAGTAAATGATGGAGGGCAATGGAGCAGAGTATGGATAAAAAGGCACATACACAGGGATATACACAGGTTACTAACACATCCTGTTGACCTATGTCCAGCTCTGGAGCTATTAATTTTAGGTCAGTGTCTATTCTCTGACAGGGCTTATTGGCAATTTAGACTCTGCCGCTGGACTCGGACTTTATTATCCAATCACTGTGCTTCACCCTGGCATGGGTCCAGTGTTAGAGGACACAGGAAGATGTTTTATACTCCATACTGTACCATTCTGTTTTCCATTCCCTTTTTTTCTTTCTCTTAAGGAACAAAAGGTTGAAAAGTGGACAAAAAGAAAATGTGAATAAGGAAGCTAATTTACTGTCTCCTATAATTGGGTGGAAAAAAAGAAAAAAAAACATTCAATGCCCTTTTTGGAGAGTTTGGAGCAAATAAAAGGGAAGACAGCTCATTTTTCTGGTTTGGGGTTTTATAAGGTACTTTTTTAAAGATTAGTCATTGTTGCCACTGAGGACAATGAAATAACATGTTTGTATGTTTCATAAAAAAACTGAAGTTACAACAACTCAAATGCACTCAACAGAAAATCTAAGCCATGACCTTGTTTCATCTAATTCAATTTCTCGTTGGTGGTATTTCGATAAATACAGAATAATGATGGGAGCAGCTGCAATTCTTCTTAATAGTACCTTGTAGCTCTGTCCTTTGTGTGCCTTCTTTAGTCTTCACTTTACCATCTTGGCAGCAGTAATTGGAATAATAGTGATGGATGAGAAAAGCACATATAGCTGGTTATCTACTTCAAGCATTTATTAAAGCATTGTGTGCACAGACAAAACATTCTCCCCAAATAGGAAAAATGTACATGTTGCTGTGAACAGAAAAACATTCAGGTTCCTTACACATAACCACAAATACTGTAGATGACTCCCACATAAGCTCAAGGAAGTTAGCATTGACCTTCACATTAAGTCAAATGCATCTCATTTTTCACAGTAAGATTCAGGGCAATATCTGACTCCGGCAGTGAATATGTTTTCTTTTATGTACTAGCTGCTCTTTGAGCATGGGCTACCAACCAAGGAGTATATTGATCCCCTTCATAGCATATAAAAGCAGATCTGAGCAAATGGTAACTGAGTTGATGCTGCGTTTACAGAAACAGCAAAGTGTTCAAGGCAAGCAGAACCACAGCAGTGAGATGTAGGACTGGTGTGTTTAAATCCACAAATTCAGAAAGTCAGATGGTATAAGTTGTAGAGGCCGGCCATCAAAGGGCAGCTACCTGTGTATCGGCTGTAAACGGAACCAGAAAAGGTCATCCATTCTGTATACACTCAGAACATAAATATGCAAATCAAACTCAACACAAATAAAGCTGTTACAACACAAAGTAGAGTTTAAATGATCATCACAACCAAATAACTATGAGTTGGGATGCCAGCAGAAGATGTCTGTGCCCATTCTGTTAGTGATGGCATGTGTCTTTTGCCCGCTCTAACCTTACCTACAGCCCTGCCAACCCTTCCATCTGTCTCACCTTTACAGACTGGACGCTCTCCTCCCGGGGGGCCATCAGTCATCCTTATATATGTCCAAGGACAATGACGACAAAAAATTAGGTGTGAGGAGAGCTATTTTCTGTCCTCACTAAAAGTAACTAACATTGTGAAGTAACACACCCACAACCCTCTTATTTTAGCAACTTGGTTAGAACCATTCTCATCCTTATTTGGTTAAGAGAAGTGTTTAAACAAAAACAAAATGTTTCAACTGATTTGATCAGTAGTGAAAGTGCTCAAATCACGTTAACATACCACAACGCTAGGTCTAAATAGTTATTTATACCATGAACTTACCTATGTTAAGTTAGTTTTATATGGTTTATAGTGATTGTGGTGTTGCTTGAAATAGAATGCACATGTGCTTGTTTCCCATTTATATTAATGATAATTAATTTTTTGCGTGTAAAAATAAAAGGAATTGTCACTGAAACCAGTAGTGTTTAAGTGACAAGTATGTAGTGGACTCAACTTTTCCTAAAAAAAGAGCAACATGGAATACTAAAATGTCAGCTTCTGTCCCTCACACTACATTTTCCAAAGCAAAAAGTGCTAGATTAGCAGTAGGATCGACTGCATACTTTTTGTGCTCCCAGGAGAAAATGTACACACCTGGAAGCAGGAATGTGCACATCTGTTACCTCTGCCTGTTAGACTGAGGAATTTGACTTGTTAGCTTGACATTTATTTGAATGCATTAAGACCAGTTCTGTTGCTTGTACATGTCTGACTGGTTCGCGCTCAAATAAAAGGAGAGATGAGAAAGGAATGAAAGCAGATGAGTCTCATTTTGAAGAAAGTGAAAGAGAGGTGGCAAGCTTGTGCTGCAGTGCTCCTGCATTACAATTGATTGGCTGCTTTAACCACCAGAGCTGCTCACTCAAGCTTTAAATAGATGGATAAAACTCTCCTTTATCCAGCACTTTCTCATTCGCTTCTCCTCCCTGCCTCCTCGATGCACACTTTTATCCTTTTCACCTCTCCTTTCTTTCTTTCTGGCTTTCTTTCTCACTTTCTCTCTGCTCTCCCTTCTTTTCTATTCTTTCCTATACTATTCCTTTTTTTCTACTTTCTCCAGTTCTTCCTGGTTCTATTTCCCTCTTTCCTCTTATCCATTTTCCCCTCCTTACCTCTTTTCTCTTCCTCTGATATTTTCTTCCCATTTTCCTCTCCATCTACAAATACCTTGAATATTATAATCAGTCCAGTTGAACATTTTTCAGTGTTTCCAGAAATAAACACGCTGTGTCATTGAAGAGGAAATTGTAAGCATAAAATTGCTGCATGTATGAATGTCTGTACTGACTCGCTAATTTGGGGTGTAGTGTGCCTGGTTTCCAATTTGTCCGACAGTGAAGGTCACACAGTAATCCTCAATTGTCCTCCATTCCTCCATTAACCAGATCCCATCCTCAGTTTGTCTGCTCTCAGTTTCTCCTGGTTCCTTTGATCCTTCATTTCCTCAGAGCAGTGATGCCACTTCACAACTAAGTGAAATAAGATGGGTTTCCTAAGATTTGCTGATAGATGGAGGTGAGGACCAGCCCAAATAAGCAGGCGATGGAGGCGCGTTGCACAACAGACTTATCCTCTCATTGCTTTCGGGGAATAAGAGAAAGCAGACAGGCTTGTGGTGAATGTGATTTTGCGTGTGTAAGGAGAAAAATATGTGGCTCAAATATGACAAATGCAGACAGTGAACCATTAATCTTTTCCCCTGAGGCAATCTAAACTTCACAGTGCTTACTATTACGAACGCTCCCTCTCCTCAAAGATGGAGACAGCCATTCCCAACTCTCCGATAGCTCCAGACACAGGATGTTCTGCACTTTGTAATCTCGCAGATTGTTGTTGAGATTTCACTCCAGGATTAAGAGCAGAAAATAAAATTTTCCTGACGTTGGAGAATCTGGCTTATTTAATGCTGGTGAATAGTATGTAAACAGCAGCAGTGTGTGGGATCAGTTTGGAAATGCAGTGGAAGTTCACATCAGGCACCAGCTGTGGCTCCAACACAACCCATTAGGCTCCTACCGGAGACAAGACCGCTCTGACTTTTTGATGTTAGCAGTCATATAGTAATGACTCGTACGTAATGCAGTTCTTTGATCTATAAACTCTGCACTCAGTCTCAATTAACATGTTATTTGAGATAGTTTTAGTCCATTTCATGTGTGATCTTTGTTTCTATGCAGTGATTTTCAGATCTACTTTGTGTTTTATCTAGTATCAGTAGAATTAGCTATTTAGTTGTTTTGTATTCATTATGAGCGCTTTCATCTGATACTATTCACCATGCCATTTTTACTTTGTTCGCCTTCCCTTTCTTTTTTTCTGCTAGCTTCTTCTGCTAGAGTCAATGAACTATTTTATGTTTTGTCATCTTGGACAGCAGCCAGCTGTGCCTGGCTGCCATGGCAGTAATGTCACACTAGAGATTGATTTGCAAGAAGATGGCATGGACCCTCAGATGGCCCTCATTAAGCAGCTCACAAAACAGAAAGCCAGCGTTTACTTCATACCTTTCACCATTCTTCTGCTCCATCTCTCTCCTCAACTCATTATTTTTCTGCCCGCTTCACTTTGTCGAAGAGGAGTGTCTACCAGCTGTGAAACCAGGAGAACAGCTTGATGTTTCGCTGCATCAACTTTCAACTTACTGTGCTGCTCTGCATGTTCCTGCCCACTTATTTCCCTCAGTTTCAAAGTTAAAGTTTGTCACTCCCTACTTGATTTAGGCCCAGATGCCACTAAGGATCCATGCCTGAGGGTTCGCTGTCCTCCTCACAAGGTCTGCGTCAGCCAGGACTTCCAAACTGCCATCTGCACCAATCACAAGCAACCAGCCCACAGGTAAGAGCCAATCATTTAATTTTAGGTTACTGACCTTTTATTATCAATTTCCCTCTCTGCCTGTCTTCAACCCCCTCCCCCTTTCTTTGTTTGTCAGTTATTCTGTTCTTACGATGATAAGACGTCTGGCTTTTGACTGAGATTTCGGGCGGTTAAACCTGAGAAATATATTTTTGTGACATTAAAGAAAACTTTAAACTTGTTCCTACAGAGAGGACAACAAAGCTATTGAAATTGTGGCTTTAATGAAAAATTGTTCCCTTTCTTTAAATGTGAAATTATTAGACATCTTTCAGTCAGAAATACTTTGCAAAGCTGAACTTCAATTTGCTAAATACCCATGTGCAGGTTAGATAAATGACATTGAAAAAAGGGCTGCATTTAGTTAGATCTGTATAAGAATCCTGCCTGCATCACTGTGACAGACACATGCATATTCTCCTCGCCAATTAATTAGAATCATGCTATCTCTTTGTTCTGTCACCACTCAATTGATTTGTGTTCTCAGCCATTGTCAGTTTTGTTTTCTTTTGTTTTTTTGTTGATGTTATTCTTTCAATATTTCAGCTCCAGAAGTATTTATCCATGGAGACATTTGAATGATTTTTGTTGTTTTGTTTTTTTTTCGCTTTATGTCTTGGGTCATTAGCTTTTGACAAAATTGGTCTTAATCATTTTCTGTCTTTTACATTCATTACAATATGTATTTGCTGCTCAATATGGAAAAGTATTTGCTAATTTTGTTGAGAAAAAGATTGTTGAAAAATATAGAAGTTATGAAAATCCCACAGAGCACCATTCAATCCATCGTCCCAAAATGGAAAGAATATGGCACCACAGTAAGACTGCTTCTCATGGAAAACCGTTTGTCTTTGAGAAATGTTATACTGGAATGAACTTCCACCATCCAGCATGCCAATACTGCTGAATCTACATTCCAATGGGTTTAGGGGGAAATGTTTCTCTGCGTTAGAATGACCTTATCAAACACCAGACTTCAATCCAATTGAGAATCTGGGGCATGATTTCAAGATTGCTGTACATGAGAAGAACCCATCCAACCTGAAGAAGCTGGAGATACTTTGATTTGAAAAATGGGGAAAATCCCAGTGTCTACAAGTGCCAGACTCATAGACGCTTAGAGAAGGTGACTTTACAAATGACTGAGTAAATAGTTATAGCTTGTGCAACAAGGTTTTTTTTACTTTACAGTGTTAATTTAAGTGCATCTGCTGTGGGGGAGTTGAAGTACTGTTGAATTAGATATCTTATTAGATATCAGATGAAAGCACCATGGAAACCCACACTTGGGTGCTAAGGTACAGTGCAGGGATGTAAGAGGGAGACAGTTATTACTTTCTTTCACTTATAGCTTGTGGATTTTTCGCCCTTCTCTTTATTATGCAAACAGAGCATTACAGGGCATGTAGCACCTTTTATAGTCACAGTCTGATTCTGACTTTTATCATTATTATTATTATCTTATCGCTAACTTTAAACATTCTGTCTATTGTTTTTATAGTTTTGTATTTAACTGGGTACTGATTGGGCAATCAGATCATTTTGGATAATTCGGATCATTCATATTATTTCTCACCTTGAATTTTTTTTTCTGCTTTTGTTAATGGCTGCTTTTGCATAAAGTTTCTTTAGTAATACCTTAGTCATATCTTTGAAATCATGTCTCCAACCAGAGCCTAAACACTATCTCACATCTTCTTTGCCTTTGCTCCAAGTCTCAAGTAAATTTGATTAAATTTGACTCGGTCTTTTCTAAGTCCTACTAACAGACGGGCAAACTGGGAGAAAATCAACAGTTTCTGCCTCTATTTGTTTTGGCAGGAAAATAATTGCAAAATGTATTTGCGCTTCAATGCCAATGCAAAATGTTGAAGGGGAAATTATAGCAACAGCAGCATTGGATTTGAATTAACAGAAAAGGAGGCGTGTCAGCCATTTTTACTGCGTTTCAATACTGATTTTGTGCAGTGCGCATGTCTGATCAGCGGTATGATGAGGTTCAGAAAAACAAACAAACAAACAGACAGACAGACAGACAGACAGACAGACAGACAGACAGACAGACAGA